TCAAACCGGCCCTGGGTGTCCCCCAGGTGTGGGTGGGGGGGGGGGGGTAGAGAGGACCAGAACGCTGGCATTGATTTGCCATGTGTTCTGGTGCGAGAGATCGCACTGCAGCCAGGGGGGGGCGTGCCTGTGGTGCCATTGACTTTAATTCAACGACACGCCCCCTCCTGCCCAAGAATGCAGTGAGCTGGGTGGGATGCGATCCAGTGCATTCCAGCACTGAATCGGGCCGGAACGCACTGGAACTGGTGTGAAGTAGCCCTGAAAGTCATAACATACATAGAGGGGAATTTATCAAAACTAGAGCAGACAGAATCTGGAGCAGTTGCCCATGGTAACCAATCAGCATTCACCTTTTTTTTTCCAAACCTTAACTGAACAAACTGATGAGAGAAGTTGATTGATTGCCATAGGCACCCAGATAGCAAGGATAACTTGCTACAAACGTGTGGCAGGGTGAGATTGTCATTCTTGTTAACTTGCTGCAAACATTTCTGGCAAGTTGTAGACTTGCAGAACACTTGCAGCACAAGTTCTAGCTGACACTTTTTGAATTTGTAGCAAATTTGCTTGGCAAGTCTACAGCAAGAGTCCTGCAGGTTTTAGCAAGAGCTCTGCAAGCTCGCTGGTCTGGAGACTTGCAATGCAGACTTGCTGTAATTGTGCAACAAAATTGTGAAGCTTGGCAAGTCTGCAATAGTTTAGCAAGTCATTTTCAAACTTGCAGCTCAATTGCTTGCTATCTGGGCAACTGCTCCAGATACTTCTGCTTCAGTTTTGATAAATTCCTCTCATACCTTTTATTTAATATATTTAAAAAAATTGTTATCAAAATCATGGTTTTTTTTTGGTGGTGCGGGGGCCCTTAATAGTATCTTGCACCGGGGCACTGAGGTTTCTAGTTACGCCTCTGCTCCTGACAATATTTTTACCCGCTTTTCCCGCTGGTATAATTTCTGTCCTGACATCATCCAGGGTCAACTCAGCACTTGCTTTCTGGACTGATGTGCTGGCTCAGAGATGCCACACAGTTAAAGTAGCCATACATGGCTTGAATTTCAGCCGCTTCCAATGTTGGCACCACCTGAATCGACAAACTTCAGTTGAAAAATTGAGAACACTGGAAAAAGAAGTACAGTGCTAAACTAGATACATTTTTTCGAACACTTGTAATTTGTAGCATATCATTGTTTTTCATCTTGATTTAAAAATAGTTTGCAATAACCTAACACATGCTATTTAAATGTAAACCTGCTATGGGCATAAATCATATTTTTGTTAAAGTAACTTTGCTTTAACTTCTTCCCGTCTGCTGTATTGTAAATTAACA